GTGGTAGTCCAAACCTCTAAAACCCAGTGTGATGGGGAACCACGGAGGACTTCTAGGACACTGAAACTACTCTGTATGATACAATAACAGTGGGTACGTATCACTGTACATTTGTCCAAACGTGCAGAATGTACAGCACTAAGAGCGGAGCCTAATCTAAGCTGCCGACTCTGGGTGATTAATGTGTCAACGAAGGTTCTCTGAACGTAACAGATGTGCACTCGGCGAGACGCTGGGCGGAGGAGGCTGTGCATTAGGGGACAGGAGATACGTGGGAACTCTGCTTTCTGCTCAGCTCTGCTGTGGACCTACTGAGTGCACAGCAGAGACAAAAAAAATAGGTAACTACACAGATCCTAAAGTCCAGTTGCTCTAAGCGTGAAGAAAGCAAAGCACGAGTGCTATGGATCACACAAGGGGAACTTGATGGGTAAAGGATTGAGCTAAAGTTCCACCTCAGTGCCCTGGCTGGTTTCTCTGAGTGGTTAGAGCGTTGGCCTGTGGACTGAAGGGTCCCGAGTTCGATTTCAGCCAAGGGCACATACCTTGGTTGCAGGCTCCATCCTCAGCCTGGTTAGGGAGCGTGAGGGAGACAGCCAATCAGTGTCTCTCACATAGATATTTCTCTCTCTCTCTCTCTCTCTCTGTGTGTGTGTATATATATATATATATATATATATATATATATATCTCCCTTCCACTCTCTCTGAAAAGCAATGGAATAAATATCCTCGGGTGAGGTTTAAAAAATAATAATAATAAAATAAAAGTCTACCTCAGATTCCCCTCCCAGCCCTCCAGTTCTCTGCCTTGTTAACCTGGACAGCTTAGCTGGGCCTGTGATGCCCAGGAAGTGTGTCCAGAACAGCAGGACACCCAGGCCTGAGCTGTGAAGGTCCTTGCAGGCTTTGTGGCCAGTCTCCCAACTAGACGGCGCTGTGGCCATCTGCACTGCCTCTGTAGTTCATGCCAGGGCAGAGGAGAGAGAACTGGCAGTGAAGTCAGACAGATGTTCTGGGGTTCAGATCAGTGCTCTGCACCTTACCCGTGGCGTGGCCAGCCTCAGTTTCCTCATCTAACATAGGGAGCCATATCCCGCCCTTGTTGTGAGGGTGAAGTAAGCAGGATATGGGAAGGGCCCTGCATGGTGCCTGGCACACGGGGTGGTGTTCCCGGTGGTAGTAAGGCCTGTTATCCTGCTGGGGAATGCACCCCCCACACCCCAGCTGGGTACTCACCTGCACAGAGTAATGTCCGTAAGGTTGGGGCTTGGTTCGATCACCAGAGAAAATGTCATAGGGGCCGCGGGTGCCCGTGGATTGTTCCAGGTACGCCTCTATGCCACTTTTGAAGGAGTAGGTGCATGGTGCCAGACCACTGCCCTAGAACAGAGCACAGATGCCATTTGTGGGAAGGCTGCTGAACAGGCCCGTGGCCCCCTGGGGTCTTGGTTTCCCTGCCTGCTCTGGGAGTCTGCGCCCAGGACTGGCAGGAAGGCGGCCAGGCCTGGCAGGTGAGGACGTACCTGATGAGCCGAGGGGCGGGGCTTGTTGGCCATCCTGCACATGAGGCCCTCGGAATGAGACCGGTTCCAGGCCTTCTCCTCCAGCTTTATGTATGGGTTGCCCTTCTCCCCATAATTTCCAGGGCCTGGATAGTAGTTCTGTGGAGGGAAGGAGGGACATGGAGGCCATCAGTCCCACTCCTTGTGCTGAGTGCACCGGAGGAAGACACGCCCCCAAGAGGGGAACAGGATTTTCAGGGACCCTGGGTATCAATCCCCCCCAACACACAGTGGGTCAGTCTGTGAACCTCCACCACTATCAGACCTTCAGTTCCAAGTTCAGACTTTTCACCATGGCCCCACTGTCTCTCAACTTATCTTTTACTGCTGCTTTCCTACATCCCCACTTCGGCCTAAGTGGGTCCTTGCTGGTCCCCAAACACATGCCATTCTGCCAACCTCCTTGCCTTTGTTTACTTGTGCTATTATTGCCACCTGAAATGCCCTTCCTGCCTTCTTTGCCTTGGAAAATTCTTCTAATCCTGCAGAGCTAACTCAAATGTCTTCTTTCCTGGGAGTGAAGCCTTCCTTCCCCTATCACCCCAGACAGTTGCTTGCTTTGGTGGTCTCGGAAATTCCATCCTTTACACCCATGTCATAGCCCTGCATCTGCACGAGTAAGTTTCATGCTGTGCTGCGAACATCGCTGTGACCTGGAGGGATCTGGAGTCCTGGGTTCAAATCCTGACTCTGCTGCTTCCTAGCGGAGTGATGTTGGGCAGACCACTTGATCCTTCTGAGCCTCATGGTCCTCCTCTGTCATGTCGGAATAGTAATACTTTCTCCCAGGGTAATGAGGGTAAGATTTTTAAATGTCTACAAAGCCTGCTGCACAGTGCCCAGCCCATAGTGGGCACCGACACATGATAAGTCTTGGAGAGGCTGGGAATTATGACAGGAAGGCTGGAATGACCATCTGGGACCTTGACTGCCAAAGTCAGAAATATGATCTTTGTAGGTGGAGTGAGAAGAGCCACCTACAGTGTAGTTAGGTGGGCAGGTGGAGGTCCTTGGGTAGAGCCCCCCAGGATGTTTGTTGCCGCTCTGCACCTTTTAGCCACGAGGGGTCGCTGCCGCTCCACGATGGCTCAGCCCTTTCCACCTCCCACCCCTAGAAGCCCCGCACAAGCAGCTTCAAACCAGGCAGGCAGAGGGGAGA